GGCTTTGAGCAACCTGGTCTAGTGGAAGGTGTCCCTGCTGATGGCAGGGGGTTGGAACAGGATGATCTTTAAGGACCCTTCCAACCCAAACCATTCTATGATAATTCTATTAGAAAATGTTGTCCAACTCTAAGATTGGACCTAGATGCACCTGAGCTCCATCAGGAGTTTAGAAAGGAAGAGGATCCACTCTGAACCTCACAACTCAACAGAAGGGTCTTCCTCACCCTTCTGCATCTCCACAGAATAATAACAAAAATTCTTATTAATTATGATTCCTTGGTGTGACTCTACTCGTGCTGACCTGGAGGAAGGTATTTCCTGGACAGCATGGCTCGAATGCGCTGCGGCATCCACCTGGAGAGGATCTTGCCAGCACCTGGGCACCAGATCTCCTCCTTTCCCTGATTTCCTTCAAGCTCATCCACTGCAACTGCCCTTTTCATTGCCCAGGAGGAAAAATCCCTCCTGGAAGTGGTGTAGGGGTGGGAGAACCTGTCTTTGGAGACATGACCTCAAATAAAGAGATGATTTATTTTATGGACAACCCATCTCTGGCTTCCTCCAAGCTCCAGCCCTTCCTCTGATTTAATTTCCCTCCTTCTTTTTGCCATTTTGCAGCTCAAAAGTGGATTTAAAAAGCAATTTTGCAATGAAATGTTAAATTTGGGTTGGGGCATCCCAGTGCCGGGGCGGAGGCTTTGCTGCTGAGCTTCACCGTGTTCCCTTCTGCACCGATAAAACAAACCAGAGATTATTTGGAGACCATTTGTGGTGGTTTGGACCATTTTACCCACGAAATCTCATGTTTTCCTTAGAGATAAGAGCAGAACTGCAGCAGGTGGGGGTTTTTCTGTCCTTATTTTTTTTATTTGATGTGAGTGAACCAATCACCACTATCACCAGTTCTATTTTCCCTGGGGTGGTGTGGGCACCATTAACGTGTTGGATAAAATTCCTGAGGACATCCCATGGAGAAATGTGATGCAAAGAGCTACAGCTGGGGCATCCACGGGACTTAAGACCAGGAGAAACTCATGACAACGTTGCTCAAGATGGAAGAGCTGGATATTGTCCCCCCAGGGATTTGGGCTGCCTGTCCAAAGCCAAGGGAGACCTGAGGTGATCCAGGGATTTTCAGCTCCGACCTTCAGGGCTGTGTGTGTTTTGGAAGAGGGACCAAGGCTGCTTGATAGAGCCGTGTCACCTGGATTTCTTCCCATCCCTCCTTCTCCATCCCCTTTAAAGCCGCTGGCTCTGCAGCCCTTGTCACAAACAAGGTGACACCTTGTTCCAGGAAGATGTTGCAGCTTGTGCTCCTCGCTGCCCTCGCCCTCTGCGGTGCGTCCTCCACGGGAAGCCAGCGGCCTCATTAGCTGTGATGACCCCTTGGTTGGATTCACTCCTCCCTCACTCTCTCTCCCACAGGACACTGCTCCGAGGAGGATCTCAATGGGATGCAACGGGTGGTTGGTGGGACCGAGGTGCGCTCGCACGCCTGGCCCTCGCAGGTGGGTTCTTCCTGGTGTCAGATGGTAAATCCCCTGGAGGTCTCACCCCCCAGGACCAGCTGGTGAGATCCCCCCATTTCTCACCTCTCTTTTTCCCCAGATCTCCCTCCAGTATTATTCCAGTAGTGGATGGAGTCACACCTGTGGTGGGTCCCTCATCAAGAGAAACTGGGTGATGACGGCAGCCCATTGTGTGGATCGGTGAGTGGGTGGGGGGACCTCACCTGCCTCTCGTGGAAAAGATGTTTTCCACCAAAAACCTTTCCAAGGAGAAGTTTTGGCTGCCCCAACACGGAGAGCAATGGTCCTTTGAGGTCTTTGATGGTCCTTCACTAAGGGACCATCTCTGGGAGCAGTTTCTTCTTGCCCTGATCCTTTCCATACCAGATCACAGCTTAAATAATGATAATTTATGACCTGATCTTGCATTTTTTCACCTTCCTGGCAGTAACATGAACTTCCGTGTCGTGGCCGGCGAGCACAACCTCAACGCCAACGACGGTAGCGAGCAGATCTTCAGCATCAGCAAGATCGTCATCCATCCATACTGGAACAGCAACAACGTCGCTGGGGGGTAACTCGTGGGGAAGGGGATTTGGGGGAACATCGCTGAGAATGGAGCTGGGTCCTTACAACATCTTCTCCCTCTTCTCATCAGCTACGACATCGCCCTGCTCCGCCTGTCCAGCTCTGCCACCCTGAACAACTACGTGCAGCTGGCAGTCCTGCCCCAGGAGGGATCCATCCTGCCCAACAACTACCCCTGCTACATCACAGGCTGGGGTCGCACCCGCAGTGAGTGCCAAAGGGTGACCCCAGCCCTAAATCACCCCAAAAAACGTGGGCAAAATGGGGAGATGAACGCTATTTTTAAGCCCTTTGAGGTCCCAGGAGGCATCACACAGGGCTTCTCTCTGGGCATGGAGATGTTCAGTGTTGGGTGGGGTCATGTCAAGGTTTATGGGGGATTTTATGTGGGAAAAGGGGCTTGTTGGTGGCTACGGGCTCTGCTTTGGTGAGGGGAAGATTTGCTGAGTCTCGCAGGTGTTTGCTGGTGAGGCATTAACCAGTTCTTCATTGCGTGCAGCCAACGGGCAGCTCTCCAACGTCCTGCTGCAGGCGTACCTGCCCGTGGTGGACTACCAGGTCTGCTCCAGCTCATCCTACTGGGGCTCCACTGTTAAGCCCAGCATGGTCTGTGCTGGTGGTGATGGTGTACGCTCCGGCTGCCAGGTATGGCCCCAACATCCTGCTTTACCCATTGCCATCCCACCAGCATCTTCTCATCTCATACGGGTTCCTCGGTCTGGCAGGGTGATTCAGGTGGTCCCCTCCACTGTGCGGTGAACGGGCAGTACCAGGTCCATGGTGTCACCAGCTTTGTCTCCAGTCAGGGCTGCAACGTCCAGCGCAAACCCACCGTCTTCACCCGCGTCTCTGCCTACATCTCCTGGATTTCGAGCGTAAGGCGACGGTGGAGCTCGGGTGGTCGAGGGCTGAGACCTGGCTGAGCCGATGCACGGGCTCTGTCCCTCACCAGCTCAACCGTTGCCTTTCTTCTCCTTCCAGGTGACATCCCAGAACTGAGTGGTCACAGAAGGAGGGTCTCCAGTGATGGACATCATCTTCCCCAGCGTTGCGGTTGGAGGGGTTTACAACCCATGACCATGTCAATAAAATCTGTTCCTCTCTCCGATGCGCTTGTCCATGGTTTGTCCCACAGCCCAGCAATCCCTTCCCATCTTCCAGATCATTCCTTTGCTCATGTCCCTCATCTTAGAATCACAGAATCATAGAATGGTTTGGGTTGGAAGGGACCTTGTCCCACCCCCCCTGCCGATCTTCCTCACACCTTTGGAAAGAGCCGCAGGGAGAAGCAGCCGGCCCGGCACCTTTGGGGCAACCAGAAAGTCCTGGGGACAATGGAAAAGGGGGAAAGGCTGCAAATCCTCATCATGGGCAGCAACGTGGCTCCTTGGGGATCTGGGAGGATCCGGCTGGATTTTTCCCTGTTCCAGCTTCATTTCTCTTCCCAAACCAACCCCCTTTCCAATGAGAGATGTTGGATTTGGTGGTTGTCACCACCTTGTATCACAGCTGCATCCTGGAGCGTTGACTGTGCCACAACCCCACCAGGCACGGGGATAAAATACCAGCACCAGAATTGCACCAAAAAAAACCCCAAATTTAAACCCCAAACCAGCCACTTGTGGAAAAATTAAGAAGTGGGTGTGGGTTCCTCATCACCCCTTTGGCCCACCCATGTCACTGGGTGCTTGGAGGAGCCTTTCCGGGGGTGCCTGGGTGCTCGGCGGATGCCGGCAGCTGCTTCGCCTCGAACTTCCTCCGCAGCAAACACCAAACCGCAGCGCGCGGCTGCGAGCAGGAACCGAGCTGCAGCCATGGCAGAGGGCAAGAGTGGGGGAGCCGGGCTCTTCGCCAAGCAGGTCCAGAAACACTTCAGCCGGGCGCAGGAGAAGGTACCCACCCATGACACCCAACCCCCAAAATCCCTTCTTTTATTGTATTTTGGAATTTATTTCCACCACAGCGGCAAAGGGGGTGGCACTATGGGCACCATTCAGCACCCATGAGTGCTCAGAACATCTTAATTTGGGCGCGTCTTGGTCAACGTCATCATTGCTCTAAGACTTTGGGCTTGATGGCATCTCCCCAAAGTCCTTCAAGCTGTTTTGCATTCTCTAAAAAGTGGGATTTTTCCACCCAAAACACCTTCCAGTGGTTATGGAGCGACTGTGCGGTGCTGGTACAGGGTCCCTCGGACTGGCCAGAGGTGACGGTCCCCAGTAGGACCTGGTGCAGGGGTGGTCACTGGAGCACCAGCGTAGCCCAGAGAGGAAGTGAGGGGGGAAGGGCTCCGGAAGTGGGCAGAAACGGGGAGATTCACAGCAGTTTTGGGGTTGTTTGAGAGCATTTCTTTCCCTTTCTCTCCCCAAAACAGCAGGCAGTGACTCCCATTTTGGGGGTGATGCGAAGGCCTCCCCCACCCCACTCACACACCCCGGGTTTCCTGGTTGGGGTTCGGCGCTAAATTCAGCTCCTCCGCGGCCATATCAACCCCAACCAGGCTCCATCTGCTTCCTGGTGGGGGTCAGACTCTTCCTGGACACCCCAAAGCTCCCTCCTGTGCAGCTTCTGCCTCACTGTGCTCCTGCCATGGTGGCTCTGGAGGTGACCTTCAGCCACAGACCATCCTGCGGGCTGGGAGAGTTGGGGCTGTTCAGCCTGGAGAAGAGAAGGCTCCGGGGAGACCTTCTAGTGGCCTCCCAGTACCTGAAGGGGCTCCAGGAAGGCTGGGGAGGGACTTTGGCCAAGGGCAGGGAGTGAGAGAACAAGGGGTGATGGCTTGAAAGTGGCAGAGGGGAGATGGAGCTGAGATGTGAGGAAGAAATTCTTTGCTGTGAGGGTGGTGAGACAGTGTCCCAGGCTGGCCAGAGAAGCTGTGGCTGCTCCTCCCTGGAAGTGTTCTCGGCCAGGTTGGATGAGGCTTTGAGCAACCTGGTCTAGTGGAAGGTGTCCCTGCTGCTGGCAGGGGGGTTGGGACTGGATGAGCTTTAAGGTCCCTTCCAACCCAAACCAGTCTGTGATTCTATAATCCTCATCCTGGTGTCACCAGCACCTGGCAAGGCAGCAGGCAGGGTTTTGCCTGCACCCATAGTCACGTGTGTGGATGTTTTGTGGTCCATAAAGCTGCACTTATGAGGTTTTATAAGGTAGGGTGATGGGTTAGCACCCAAAAAAAGTCACCATTTTCTTCTAAACAATAAAAGCACCAAGAGATGCACCAAAATTTTGTGTCCACCATCCAAATCTTTGCTTGGTGTTGGCTTCCCCAGATCCTCAGCATCCCCCAAGAGGGGCTCTCACCAGCACAGACCCCTCTCCTTGGAGCTTTTCCCCCATCTCCATCTATCTCCATTCCAGGTTTTGCAAAAATTGGGCAAAACGGTGGAAACCAAAGATGAGCAGTTTGAGCAAAGCGCCTACAACTTCCAGCTGCAGCAGGTCACACCGGGGAGCGGGGAAAGGGGGGGACGGGGGACACCCCTACACCATCCCTTGGTCCCACTGGGGTCCCTCCATCCCAGTTGGACTCATGGAAATCCCTGCGAGTCCCCGGGATTGTCCCTGACCTGTCCCCTCACCACGTTGCTTTGCAGAACGAAGGCAACAAGCTCTACAAGGATCTCAAAGCTTTCCTGGGTGCCGTGAAAGGTACCGGCCAAC